CCCTATCGCTAGTGTAGTAGTAGGCAAGATTCGCATGAATGCATGATTGTGTTCTGAACTTCTGATCAACAAACAGTAACAAAACACCTGCACAACAAGGGGATGTTTGGTTTCTCCTCCTAAACTTTAGTCGTTGTCCTATAGAATGTTTGGACATATGAATAGAGTATTAAATATAGACTAATTACGAAACTAATTACATAGTTTGCGACTAATTTGCGAGACGAATCTTTTAAGCCTAAGTAGTTCATGATTTGACAATGTGATGCTACAGTAAATATATGCTAATGATGGCTTAATTAGGCTTAATAAAATCGTCTCGTGGATTACCGATGGATTCTGTAATTTATTTTTTTATTAATATCCGAACACCTTGTGCGACACCCTTACGTGACGCCTCCTAAATTTTAGTCACTGGATCTAAACACCCACTAAAACTGTGCAACAGAAGCGCAATAAAAAGTGACCAGGCAGACCCAGTGGTCACCATTGTCAAGTCAGTTCTCCCAGAAGTTAAATGCTCTCTATATGTGCAACAGAGGAGAAATTCAAACCCATTACGCAGATAGGAAGCAGAAATTCAAACCAATTACGCAGATAGGAGTAAATAACAAGTTACGGCAGAAATTAGAATCAAGGACTGCAGAGATGAAATTTCACCTGTTCTTGCAGGCACCAGAGGATGCATTGATGGACCAAATCAGCAGTGTGTTGAAGATGGTGCATCAGTGCAAAAATCAATTCCAGATCTTGACTGCTCAGAGTTGCACGGGAAGCACACATGATCTAGCCATGATGAAAAACCTGTTTGGCTCACGAGTCATGACTGTTTGTTTGCTACTGAGTATGTCTCCATTCTGTCATGTACCGAGGTCCAGTCCTCTGAACTGAACCTGAAATAAGAACGACAGGTAATGTCGGGCCACAAGAACAAGACTCTTAGTACTGTAACGAGTGGTGATATTTACATGTTGTCTGCTTACAAAAAAAAACCTACCAATCAACTTGAGTTGACTGGCAGGATACATAAAATGTACAAACAACAACGTATACTCCCAACAACGTATACTCCGGTATGAATGGATCAACCACAAACTCGCCAAAATAATCGGCATAGGTGGTCTGTGATCATCCTGCTGAAGTAACTACTAACTAGTGCCAGCTTCTGTGACGAACAATTACACAAGTTGAAGGAGCGTTGCAGCTTTTGGGTCAAGAACAGGCATGGAACAACACAAGAACCTGTGATTTGGCCGCACGACGTGAGCATTTGGTGCGAGCATTCTTATTCAAGCTGCAAGCACACCCTTCCAGCAGCTCAAAGTCTTCATCGCATATTAGTATGGATGCCATCTCCGGACAGTCCAATAACATCTTAGAGCTAAGATATCCGGCAATGGTCCAAGTTTGATATAGCCGCAATTGTTTCGCAATGAACCTTCCTGTCCTGGTGTCATAATACTCTGGCCACTTGTCATCTGAGAGCCTCTTTTCTGCCACCTCAACTGCCCTCCGTGCCAAGTCACGCCTACCCATCTTGATACAGGCTAAGGTGAACTGAAAAAAACAAGACAAAATATTGATCATCATTCTAATAGGGCGAACTTTCAGGAGCATCTTGGACAGAGGATGTCAAGTCCCAAGATGTAGCGAATAACTTAAGTATACCTGCCACAACAGTGTAGGCCAAGGTCCACCATTATGATACAACCAGGGCCTGAAAATAAAGGCAATGCAATGGTGTTAAATGGGCAAGAGCCGGGTCGTCACTCCCGTGACGCGCCGTGTCATGATCTGGGCATGGTGCCAAGTGAACAAGGATCGGGTCGTCGCTTCCTTAGTGGCGCGCTACATCGGCGCCCGGGTGTAGTGAAAAATGAGCAAGGGTCTTCGCATTTGAGTCGATGGGTGCGAAGGGTAAGAAAGCTAGTCGAACCAAGTAGGATCCGTTTAGGTAGTTGGAATGTAGGGTCACTTACAGGTAAGTTAAGAGAATTAGTCGATACCGCGATTAGGAGGCGTGTAAATATATTATGCGTTCAAGAGACTAAATGAAAGGGTCAGAAGGCGAAGGAGGTGGACAATACAGGTTTCAAGCTTTGGTACACATGGACAGTCGCGAATAGAAATGGAGTAAGAGTTTTGATTGATAAGAGCCTCAAGAATGGTGTGGTGGGAGTGAGAAGGCAAAGAGATAGGATTATCTTAGTTAAGCTTATTATTGGTGATATGGTCTTGAACGTAATTAGTGCGTATGCCCCCCAAGTAGGCCTCGACGAGAGTACTAAGAGACAGTTCTGGGAAGACTTAGATGGTCTGGTTAGAGCTATACCTAGTAGTGAGAAGCTTTTTATAGGAAGAGATCTTAATGGGCATGTAGGTACTACAAGCGCAGGTCTCGAGGCAGTTCATGGAGGTTTTGGGTATGGTAGTAGGAATCAGGAGGGGAAGGAAGTTCTGGACTTCACGGTAGCTTTTGACCTAATGATAGCCAACACTTTCTTTAGAAAGAGAGAATCTCATCTAGTGACCTTCAGTAGCGGACAACACTTTAGCCAGATTAACTTTGTCCTCGCGAGAAGAAAGGACAAACGAGCATGCTTGGATTGCAAGGTGATACCAGGGGAGTGTGTTGTTTCTCAACATAAGCTTTTGGTGACAGACTTTCGTTTTCAGGTGCGTGCCCGTAGGGATAAGCAAGCTAAGATTGAAAGAACAAAGTGGTGGAAACTGAAAGAAAAGACGTCAGAGGTATTCAAGAAAATGGTTATCAAAGAGAGTTCTTGGAAGGAAGAAGAGGACATAAACAATATGTGGGAGAAGATGGCAACTAACATTCGGAAGGTGGCCTCAGAGGTGTGTGGAGTAACCAAAGGAAGTGGAGGCGAGGCTAAAGATACTTGGTGGTGGAACGAGAAAGTCCAAAGGGCTATTAAGGAGAAGAAAGAATGTTATAGACGCTTGTACCATGACAGGAGTGTGGACAACATAGAGAAGTATAAGATGGCAAAGAAGACTGCAAAGCGAGCTATAAGTGTGGCAAAGGGTAGAGCGTACAAGGATCTTTACCAACATTTGAGTACGAAGGAAGGAGAGAAGGACATTTATAGGATGGCTAGGGTTCGTGAGAGAAAGACAAGGGACTTCAACCAAGTTAAGTGCATTAAGGATGAAAGGGAGCATCTCTTGGTGAAGGAGGATGAGATCCAACATCGATGGCAAGAGTATTTTGACAAATTGTTCAATGGTGAGAATATGGACACAACCTTTCAGTTGGATGACTCTTTTGATGACACCAATAGACGCTTTGTGCGGAGAATCCAAGAATCTGAGGTCAGAGAGGCCTTGAAAAGGATGAAAGGAGGTAAGGCAATGGGACCGGATCGTATCCCAATCGAGGTGTGGAGATGCCTCAGGGACATAGCTATAGTATGGCTAACCAAGCTGTTCAACCATATTTTTCGATCGAACAAGATGCCTGATGAGTGGAGGAGAAGTATATTGGTACCGATATACAAGAATAAAGGGGATATTCAAAGTTGTACTAATTACCGAGGAATTAAGTTGATGAGCCATACTATGAAACTATGGGAGAGAGTTATCGAGCATCGCTTGAGAGCAATAACGCGGGTCTCTATGAGCCAATTTGGTTTCATGCCCGGAAGGTCAACCATGGAGGCCATTTTCTTAATAAGACAAGTTATGGAGCGGTATAGGGAGAAGAAGAAGGACCTACACATGGTTTTTATTGACTTGGAGAAGGCTTATGATAAAATACCAAGGAATGTTATGTGGTGGGCTTTGGACAAACATAAAGTCCCAACGAAGTACGTCGGGCTCATTAAGGACATGTACAACAATGTTGTGACTAGAGTTCGAATAAGTGATGGAGACACGGATGACTTCCCGATTAGGATAGGACTACATCAAAGGTCAGCTTTGAGCCCTTATTTGTTTGCCTTAGTGATGGATGAGGTCACAAGGGACATACAAGGGGACATACCTTAGTGTATGCTTTTCGCGGACGATGTAGTGCTAGTTGATGAAAGCCGGACATGAGTGAATCAGAAATTGGAGTTATGGCGGGAGACTTTGGAGTCCAAAGGTTGTAGACTCAGTAGAACTAAAACTGAGTATATGAGATGTGACTTCGGCACTACTACTCGGGAGGAGAAAGATATTAGTTTGAAAGGTCAAGTAGTGCCTAGAAAGGATACCTTTCGATATTTAGGATCAATGCTACAGAGAGACGGGGATATTGATGAAGATGTTAGCCATAGAATCAAAGCAGGGTGGATGAAGTGGCGGCAAGCATATGGTGTCCTATGTGACAAAAGGGTACCACAAAAGCTAAAAGGTAAGTTTTATAACGGCGATTAGACCTGCTATGTTGTATGGTGCAAAATGTTGGCCTACGAAAAGACGACATGTTCAACAGTTAAGTGTCGCGAAAATGCGTATGTTGCGTTGGATTTGCGGTCATACAAGAAGGGATCGAGTTCGGAACGATGATATACGTGATAGATTAGGGGTAGCACCAATTGAAGAAAAGTTTGTCCAACACCGGTTGAGATGGTTTGGACATGTGCAACGGAGACCGCCAGAGGCACCGGTGCGTAGTGGAATCCTAAGCCAGGATAGTAACGTGAAGAGAGGCAGAGGAAGACCGAAGTTGACTTGGGTAGAGGCAATAAAAGGAGACTTGAAAGGATGGAATATACCCAAAGAATTAGCCTTAGATAGGAGTGCTTGGAAGACAGCTATTCACGTGCTTGAATCTTGATTGCTTCTGCTGGGTTTCAACTCTAGCCTACCCCAACTTGTTTGGGACTTAAAGGCTTTTTTGTTGTTGTTGTTGTTGTAAGCCAACCTGGTTAATGCATCTGGTCTTGCTTTTGGTGAGTACTCTAAGTACTGGGCTTTTTGTATCATCATAAATAAAACATATGATGATATGAATATTCAGAAGAAAACCAAAAAAATATAAAAAGTTCAGTTGCTCACGTGTTTTTGGGATCACTGCCGGTGATGATACGCCATTCCTCATACTCTAGTGCAGGGTAGCATATTTTGAGAGGCATGTTGGCTACTATGTCATCCCATTTGGCTTCAATAAGGTTCAGAATACCCTCTGATTGCCTTTGAGTAGCAAGAGATGAGACAATCGCCCACAGATTCCCTAGGGAGAAAAACCTGAAATCCATGTGAGCTGGCTGCAGATTGCCTATAAGGTAACCGCCTTTCACAGGAATCCAGTCTGCAAGCCAAGACGGAATTTGCTCTGGGTAGATGTTGAATTTGTTAATAGCATCATGGGAGTACTCCTCAGTCTTATAGCGATAAATCTCATTTATCTTCTTAATATCAACCCAATAATACTCTCTGATGTGAAATGACAGCGCACTGAGCCTGTTGTTAATAGCACAGATCAAGTTCTTGGATCCATCGGTTACACCAATCATTTCTCGGGCACAGCGTAAAGCAGAATAGAACAGAGCCTGTGAAACAGATCCCATAAGATGTTTATGAGAGTCATTTTCCATATGTACTGATTTTATCTAATATATGGAGCCCATGCAATTTCAAAAAGATTTAAAGGTCTTATAGGTACTAGATAGCAAATAACAGTCACAAAGTCAAATGGACAACCTAAACATATGGCAATTCAAATACCAACCAAAAAAGTCAAATTGAAATATTGAATAGAGACTAGATAGCAAGAAATTTCAAAATCTGAATAATATCATCATGCAAAAACTAACCAAACATATCGTAAGTTAAACGCCATTTGACCAACAACATATTGACTACACAGGGATCATGGGTTTGACCTTATGATCAAGGCCGACCATAACATCATCCAAAAGTTACCTAACATGATTGAGAATGTAAAGAGAAGGGTTCATCAGCTTGCCTGGATCTCAAGAGGATGACCATGTATTCCCATCCGCCGATCAATCATACATGATCCATCAGTTACAAGCAATGTAGGAAACATGTCAAATCCATCAGACAAGCACAAATTCAGTATTAGCCTGATGCCTGTCTGCACATCAACCCTTTCTTGTAGAGCGTAGTCTCCAGTAATTTTTCCATATGCCCTTAACAGGATTATCCACCAAAGACCTTAGAAAAAGAGAGCTTATCATCTAAAACAGATGTAAGAAAACCCTGATCTTCATGATTACAGTATGACTTCATAGAAATACTCACCAGAGTCAACAGGTGCTACACGTCCAATGGCTGACTCTCCAAAATCTGGGTCAAGGACCTCCTCAAATGCTTCACTAATTCCATCTAAAGGCACAGATCTAACTTTGAAACTAGCAGGCATCAACCCTTGACCAGGACTATAGCAATCCACGGTCTTCTCCCAACTCTAATAGACCAAAAGAAAGGAAACTGTTACTTTTCCTACTAGTTTGATATTTAGAGTGAGCGAATACATTCATGAGCTAGCAGTGTGATGCCACGATGCCAAGAAACGTGTTAAAATGCAGCGTCCTATGCTACCCAATAATCAACCAGAAAAGCACCCCAACATTGGAGGATCAGTGGAGCTAGGATTTTGGTATTGGTTAAATTAAACATTTCAGCAGAAGATACCAATTTCTTCCTCCCTTTTCAAATACTAACAGTTTTGACCAAACAGGCAAACATGCATAACTAAGCACAAAGATTTTGGATAAAATTTGACCAAAGTGCCACTCATTAACATGAAAAGGTAAAATATATCTAGATGGATCAATCCACAGGTATTCATTGGGATCATAAAAGTGTTGTTGCATGCATTGGGAATCATAAATTACCAAGTCTATTTGTGAAAAGAAAATAGGTCGAGAATTATTTGGAAACAGAGGCTGTACATGTATTAAAAATTAAATGGGGGCAAAGTATATGTATCTATTGTACACCAAAGAGCATCATGAAATAATACAAAGTCACGCAATCAGACTAGTCAATAGTCATCATGCACACAATATACCAGTATAGTAGGCATCACAGAATAATGCTAGGCAATTTGATTACATTGTCCCTTCACACACACGCCCACACAAATCCTGACATCATTTCTCCCAGTAGACAAGTGAGGCAGGATGCAGCTAATGTGAAGGCTCAAGTGACAAGTTGATGGGGACATAGCTTCACAAGGTTGGGCATGTTGCTCCACTGGTGTATTGGTTGCTGGTCTGCTGCTCCAGCTAACTAGTATGAGGGAATCAAAGGTTCAGAATTGGGGTGATAAACTAGCCAACTGGTGAGCCAGTAAAGCAGTGCATTTATCTATGTACCCCTTGTGTGTGTGTATAGTACTATTTTACAGGGTTTTCAAAAAAAATGCGGTATAGCTGTACTTCCATGCATACCACTTGGGATGACGAGAAAAAAAAAATGATAGGCTTCTTTTGACAAGGCAACATTTATCATATATGTCTCAGATATCAGTTCTCAATATCCTCTATCCCCAATAACATTAGTAAAAATCAAGTACCAAATTGCTTTTAAAACAATTCAAGTCTCCAGTGTGTATGACATACCATGTGATAAAACTAGATTTATGCCTTCTCTAATAACTTTACCTGAGAACATTAGTTTAACCATCTTTCCTAGCATACATATAAATAGTTACAAATAATCAACAAGCATCAATATTCATAAACTAAATGCTGATGACACATGATCCTGGTTTTGCAAGGCAGTATTCCTATGATCTGATCATGGAGGGCATAGCTATTGAATGAAACAGAAACCTCAACTGTGACCAGCATTAAATACTAAACTGATAATATAATCTTTCTATAACTTTCTTTATCTTAACCTTATGCCCACAGAAAACCAAGAGTACCACTTATGGTAGGTCAAACCAACAGACTCTTACACTTCTCTGGTTCATAGTATGTGGGCTACCTTTAAATGCAGAAGTATTTTACACTTAGCATTGTAATGTTTGCCTATGGATTACATATGACTACAAGCTTCAGTTCATAACTAACGCCAAATACCCAAAGGCAATCAGCTATATTGGCCATATCACTAATGCTACATGATAATCTTAATAATCTAATGAAAAAAAGCTAAAGAGATAACTGAAATAGCTCAAATTAATTTAGGGCGTACCCAGTGCAGAGAGCTCCCGCTCTGTGCGGGGTTTGGGGAAGGGTGTCAGTGGCAAGCCTTACCCTCGCCTGTGCAATACGAGGAGACCGCGACTCGAACCCGGGACCTTCCGGTCACAGGCGGTAAGACTCTACCGATTGCACCAGGCCCGCCCTTCCTCAAATTAATTTAGTCCAAAAGAATTATGGACCACTGTCAAATTAGTTCTGCGCATGTGCGCGCCAAAAGACATTAAAATCCCTCAAAACTGTAAGGATCTTAAGTGAACAATTGTGCAGCAACCCTCCCAAAAGAGTTCTGAGCAAAGAATTGCAGGTACCCTGTTTTTTTTTTATGTGATCTTGACTCAGCATTTGAAACCTCTTGCCAGCTGCTGGAATGGCCACTATGATCAATGCATGCCCTCTTCTGACAGAAATAGCACTTGAGCAGTTTACGGTATTGCTGGACTAGATGTAGGTGAGAATATGAAATCAGAAAACTTTTTGTTTTCTTAATCAAACTGTCCAATGCTCCAATGTTTTCAACCGTTCAATTTTCTGGTAGGGTGTCTAAATCCTAGAGATTGCATATAGCTGTAATTTAAATGATTGTTCACCAGAGATTAAAATTCTCAGGTTCTAAATTGGTTATTCAAGTAAATAATCCAGAGCAATCAGACATCACCAACTTTACAAAGAGAATTATACCTTCACCAAAACTACATTTCATCAAGTAAAAAAAAAGCACAGTATGCCACTACACCACAAGTGAAGTGCCATTTACTAAGTCATTCCCAGGTTTGCACGGCTCACCTGGAGCTGCAACGTGTGGAGCAGGAAGTTCTTCACAATATCGCTCTCGCCCTTGAGGAGGAACGCGATGGCCGACGGCACGAAGTCCCTAATGAACACCTGGTCATAATTGAGCATCTGGCTGGTGGACGGATCGTTCGCGGCCACCGTCCCGACGGCGCTGCCGCAGTAGTTGACGACCGCGCGGCTGAGCAGCCACCACGCTTCCTTCTCCTCCGGCTACTCCTCCCTGCTCTTCACCGCCTCCACCCCCGCCTTGAGGCCCTCTAATTCCACCTCTTGGCACGCCAGCGTCGCCACGGACGCGGCCGCCACATCCTGTGACGGTGGGCTGCTCGGGGGCTCATCCTCGATCGGGAGCGACTCTAGCGGCAGAGCCGAGGGCGATAGGGTGGCGGCGCGGAAGGGGTCGAAGGGCGGCGGCTTGTAGTGCTCCCCCGACGTGGACGTGGCGGAGTCCACCGTCGTGGAGAGGAGGCGGCGCGCCGCCGCGGCGAGCGGGGAGGCCGAGGCCACGGCGGAGGAGGAGAAGCGGCGGCGCGACAGCGAGATGCATAGCACCGCGTGGCGCTGCGCGCCGCGGCGGAGGTGGGAGATGGCGGCGGCCGCCATTGGAGCCGGAGCCGGCGACGGCGCCCGCCGGTTTGAATTGCGGAGGAAGAAAGGTTTCCGGCTTTCCGCTGCGATTGGGTTCGGCGCTGGCGAATTTTGGGATGAGAAGGAAGGGACGGAAGGGAACAGCCTGTCGGTTGGCTGGTTCACACTGTTGTTTAATTTGTATTTAAGAAAAATATTATTTTAATTAAAAATTTATGATCGTTTACTGCCGCAGCTAAATGAACAGCCTGATCGAGGCTGGTTCGATTCGATCGCTGCGGTAATTATCAGAACAGCGGTTGGAACAGATAAAAAAAAACAGCGGTTGGAACGGGATTAAAACTCGTTAAAGACAGCCAGGATAGTTTCTGGTTTGGGAAAGTGTAAAATATAGGCTGCTGTAGCATCGTACGGCACAGGGCGCGCCACGTTCGTGGGCTCGTGGCGGTTAATAAACACGTGCCGTGCTTTGGAAGGGCCGAGCCGCTGAGGGGGAGCTGTGGCGGGTGATTTGTGGTTCGCGTGGCCGAAATTTTCTTTTGCCCTTTTTTCACATTTGATTTTGAAAAAAAAATCCATTATCGCTTGGCTGAGTTGGCTCTTTGGTCCAGGCAAGGATCTTACAGGTTTCGGCAGACAAGCTTGAAGCCAGAAAGTAGCCATACAATCCAACGTATGCTTTGTGTGATTAAGAGCGAGAAACGGCGGTGCACCTTTGTATCTAGTGCCCATTTGCAAAGGAGATACAGGTGCAGCCCTGTTTGCTTAAACTTACTGGCCGGTACAGTGTTTTTCTCTCACAATAAATCAGCTTCAGTCAGCTTATCAACTGCATAAACCATCAGTCGAACAGCTCGGCAGCTTAGAAATTAAGTTACAGGGGATTCGATTGCCTCAAACCGAGAATGCAAACAGTAGATGATTAGTGGCTAGCTTCTTTGCAAGATCACAACACCATACAAAGAAGAATGATTGTGTTGACGCCGAAAAATCCTAACCACCAGCTGACTAGAACTTGGCCGATGGAGATCCCTCGTCGTCCAAACGATGAGACTGAGAGATCTGCTTAACTCCAATGCAGGATAAGTCGGTTTTGAGTCTGCGTGCGTGCCGGTCAGTTTAATCCTATAACTGACAAGGGATAGAACTGTTAATAGCCCAAGATGAAACATATCGGATTCCATGCTGAATATTTTCAAAAACCCAATCAGCTAAGGAGTCGTTGCCTTTGGTAGAGGATCGATATGATAATAGAATCATCGGTTGTAAGACTCAATCATGGAAAATAAAGCCAATGACAGTAAAGGAAATAGTCGATATGTAAAAGGAGATGTTGCTATCGGCTAAAGAGCCGATGGGCACATATATCAAGAGATGAAGCATATCGACTATAGCATACAAACAATTACAAGTCTTAGTGTAATCAGAACTATGAACTTAACAAAATCTAATCTAATGCCACCACCAAACAGGTCGGTAAGATGCAGTGTTGATATTAGGTGGTAAACTAAAATTGCAAGTCAAGAGATCTAGCTACAATAAAACAAGCTCTTGAAAGCATACTCTGAAATGCCAAGATTAAGATATAATGAGCTAGTGAAACGATCTAACATCAACAAAGATATGATCAAGTTTGAAGGACAACAAGACGATAGATTTATAAGATATGAGCTGATGCATCTTAATCAACGCGGGATAATTCTATCAAATCAAGTAAGAAGTCATAAGATGCAGCCTTACAAGATGTGATAGTATTGATAACTAGGCAAACTAGACGAAACCACAGCGATGCACCGGTGATTCACAACTATATTCAGACCTTTCACAGCCACGTCGTAACTCCTATCGCAGTTCAATTTTGGTCTCGGCAGTAAGCTGTTAGCAGTGATGGTCATAGCCTTCACCATCGTCATCTGGGACCGACTGTGGTGTACACTAACACCGCCGTATTGGCTTATGCTTCGTCCATGATTAGGTCCTTACTTCCGCCGTATTGGAGCACGGTCCGGCTGTGGGTATCCACTAACATCGCCACATTGGCAAATTATTCATCGGTGTCAAGGCTATCAAAACCATCATGTGGGCAAATCAACCACCTGTGTAGTGGTCACTAGCACCGTCGCTTTGTACTTCGACCCGACTGTCTGCGGTGCAGGTTCGCTGTCGCTTCGACGATCGAGACGTCTGTGTAGAGGTTAACACCATCATCGCTTCAATGTATGAACCACCAGTACAAAGGTCGTGGTCACTGTCGTCTTGCACCACGATCTGCCTTTGATGATCATTTAGTCGGTATCGGGTTACTAAATGATTCGGCGGTGATATACTTTTAATCCCTGCCGCATCATACATATAGCGATGGTGTTGGACGTTTGCACCACCACCGGCGGTGGTGAAAACAAAACAATGAACCAGAATTTCATCCGGTTTCACAATAATTACTAATTTAGCTGGGCCCTTAATAGTTTCATGAACACAAAGCATACAGATATATAATCATTACATCCATAAATCATGTTCACAAATAAGAGTACTTTTTAGAATAACAATGGACGCTACCATAACATCTTTCTTAATTGATGTCCTAACACAAGCGATACATATATACTAAAGGTACTAATCTATACAGACTTACATAACAAAACGACGTAGTTATGCTCCTTTTATGTGGCACTCCTGCTTGCAAGGCAAAATAAATATAATTAGTGCATCATTTGGATTGGTAGCCAATGCACCATGGAACCCCTCTTCTTCATCTCTGAAACATAACTTGAATAAAGCAGCAGGATTAATAATATTCAACATACTATTCCTTTAGTTAACAAGCCAAAATTGGCCTATACGTGCATAGAATGAAAACAACTCTCTACCTAAACAAAGACTATCATAACGACGAAACACAACAAATGCACTTTTACTGCTCTGCTAATGACTCTATGAACAAGGAAACATAAGGAAGATAGTAAGGCCTGTTCATATGGAAACACACTCTTGATCTACAAAAGCGGATGGCATGAAGCTTTCTACGGTCCATGTCATATGCAATCAGTGTTCTATCATTCCCAACAAGGAAAGTGAAATTCCATTCTAGGTGAATTGTAATCACTCTGTACTCCGCATCATAAAGCTTAGAACCAACTTTAATATTCATGTGTCCAAACAGTTCCTCCGTGTCCACAACATGCTTCAATCTACAATTATCAGTACCATAGTCTTCAAGTATCCACACTAAAAGCCAAGACATATTGTGAAAATTAGCACAACACACACAAGTGACCCTGAGCTTAATGGATGGATATTTCAGTACCACGTGGTTTACAAATTGTCCTCCATGTCTTTCCCTCCATATCCACAGCAACTATCATAGAGTACTCAAGCATGTGCATAAAACCATTAAGAAAAACACTTCTCGATTTTGAACGTACTACAATACCCTCACCCCATTCAGATTCCTTAAAGATCCATGTTGTAGTTTTAGATGAATAGATCTCCACACCTACGCATGCACCCTCCACCTCAACAAATTCAATCACATGAAAGTGGAAGGACATTGGGTCAAAACCTAAGCGAGCCTGACCAATGGAACGGATGCTACATGGTAGTAGATGCCATTTGTGGGTCGCCAGATTACAGACAACATAGCAACATAATCCATCAGGTCTAGCACACCAGCAAAGGATGAGGCCACTACAACAATATGAGACTAGGACTTTTTGAAGGGGAAGGGTGAAAGGTCCTTGTTTGGTTTTGATAATTAAGTGACAACCTAGGTGGACTAATGTGTTTAAATATGAGATACACATGTGATTAGTCCACAGGTACACTTGTGTGAGCAACTCATGCCATGACGGTGAAGATAGCTTGGATTTGTTGCAAGGCTCACATATGTGATGAAGGATCTCATTGCATATGAGACATGACATGGAGTCATGTGACTAAGGTGGAGAAGATCAAGATAAGACTTGGCTTGATGGACCAGTTGCAAGCGTGAAGGGCAAGTTGGAGGCTTTGGAGCGATGGACTGCGTGGCGGTGAAGCTTGAGCAAGACTTGGCGTCGATGGACGAAGGCAACGGTGAAAAGTAAGTGAGGTCAAGATCAATGAACCAACAAGGTCATGTGATGATATGAAGTGGATGATATCATTTGTTGATCAAGGTTGTTGCATGTGTTGCATCAATATCGGAGGAGATGGAATGAAACGCACAAGGCAAAGGTATAACCTATCGGGCATTTCATTTCAACGGTCATAGGTGTGTAGAGAAGTTTATGACCGGGTTTAGGATAGATGGCCAAACTATCAAGAGGGGCAAACTTGTTTGCATATCGGTCATCTAGTGCCACTCGAGGGATCTAACTTTGCATCATTGCTAGGGTCGAGTGGCATGGTGAATTGAGCGATTAACTCCTTGAAAATGTTTGTGAAATTGCTAACACACATACATATGGTGGTGTACACTTGTGAAAGCTCTAGTTTGGTTTTGGTGAATTGATGAAACCCCATGTGCTAACCTTTGCTCTAAGTGATCATGAGATAGGTTAGTACACATTCAAAGTGGAGGAGCAAATGGATAAACATCATGAAGATGGTGGTGATGGCCATGGTGATCAAGTTCTCGGGCTTGGAAAAAAAGAAAGAGAAAAACAAAATAGGCTCAAGGCAAAGGTGATAACCATAGGGCCATTTTGTTTTGGTGATCAAGACACTTAGTGAGTGTGATCACATTTAGGATACATAGCTGTACTATTAAGAGGGGTTAAACTCGTATCGAAATACAGTTATCAAAGTGCCACTAGATGTTCTAATTCATTGCATATGCATTTAGATTCTAGTGAGTGCTAACACCCTTGGGAATTGGCTTAGAATGTTGCTAGCTCACGTGCACAAGTGGTGGAATACTTGGAGTTAGCACACATGCACAAGGGTGAAGTGATCCTGCTTTAAAGGAAGAGAAACAGGGGCGTCGGACCCAGCCCGGGGAGAGTCTAACGGCTAACCCTAGTTGAGAGGCGCGT